ATAAAAGTTGATGACTTTATTTTGGTGCAATTTTCATATGAGGCTCCCCATAAGCCAGCTATTTTGAAGAAATTCATTGGACAAATTATTGAACTAAAGCCGGATTTAGTTTTGTGTAAATTTATGCGCAAATCACCACAAGGAAAAAATATTTACGTATTTCCAGATATTGAGGACGTCACTGATATTAATAAAAATCAAATTCTGTCAAAGCTGGTTCCTGTGTTTGTTCGACGAGGAAGATTTACTTTTTCTATTGAACTTTAAAAACCTGGCACAATTGTTTAAAACATTTTTTTTTTTCGTTAGAATGAGTTTTTTATTTGTTTTTTAAGAGTTATGTTTTATTTAGATTAGTTTCTACCAAAGTTTTTCAAGTTCCTACTTATTTTTTAAGAATTAAAACTTTAGTTTTGTATTAAAAATGTAAAATGTTTAAAATAATTATATTTTTCCAAATAAGAGTTGTGTTTATGAAATAATATGTTCTATTACGTTTTTAAAGACTATTAATGTCTCAAGTCCGCAAATTGACGGTCCGTCTTGAGTTTATAATGAAAACAAATTACTGTCTCAAGTCACCGCCCCTGTGAAGCTGACTTGAGACACCCAAAAAAACAAAAAAAAAATATTTTCTGATAAATTTTAGGTCATTTTTATTATTGAATTTTGAAGAATGTATGTAGACTCAAAAATGTGTCCTTGTTTCATAATTTTAATTTGCTGGAATACAATTTTACAGTCCTTTGAATTTTGAAACTGTCTCAAGTCACCCAACTTGACGGTAACTAAATATCATTTTAGCGGTAAATTTGAATTTGTCTTGTATCATTTCAAGAAAAACATTTCAAAACTTTGTTATGAATTCATTGAAGTCAAAGTTTTAGATAACCAACGAATAAAGATGACACTAAATTGTGCTCATTCCCTTTTTGATTTATAATTATTGTATTTTAGTTGGACTTTTATTTTTTCCTTACTTCGTCTCATATCGCAGCTCGGACCAGTATGTTGAGAAGAGAATCGCCCAAGCAGCGACCAAATTTCAGTAAATTGAGTAAAATTAAAATGTCTCCCAACAAAATACAAAATAATTTACATTTTGAGTTTAACATAGAGTTTTAATTCGATATTTTATTCATTGTTTTATAAGTAACTGTGATTAGAAAATTATATATCTATTATAATAACAGAAAAGAAAGTAAATAGTAGGTTTTTCAATTTGATGGAAAAATTAGAAAAATAGGTATGCCAGTTCTATTTGTTGAAATGAAATTAAGCACCTATTATTACCTACCTATTACAAAACATATTTAGGAGGGACTAAAAAATATGTAGTTGAAGAAAAGCTTATCTAAAATGCAGAATTTTGGCAGGTACAAAAAAATAAAGTTTATTTTTATATTTCTTTATAGGTATAGTTTAATTTGTAATATTTTTTCTTAAAATTAAACTACAAGATTACCGTTAGTTGTATGGATTTCCTAATTAAATAAGGGTTCTTTCTTCAGGTAAAATGTAGCAAAGTTCTGAAGTACGATACGATATGTTTGCAGACAAGTGTTTTGAAATGAAATAAATGAAATCTATACGAATTTTGTCTCCACTAACAAGATGATATATTCAACAGTCGAAAGTGTAAACTTGTGGGCAACAGCTTATTAAATGTATGTAGAAGTCCAAGAAAGTGCAATGGTACCAGCTTTTACTATATAATAATGGTTTTTATCATTCTCCTGTTTTTTTGTAGATAGGATTTATAATTGTTGCTTAAATTCCACATTGTGTATCAGAATGTCTTTGGTCTTATTGAAAACATATTTTTATACAATATAAAGCAGATGGTATATTTTTTTGAGACATCCTTCAAGCCTCTCGAAAACTAAATGTTTATTTGCAGGTAAGATAATATGTATCTTAATTTTGTATGATCATTTATTGTATAGACAAATAATTAAATAAAAATTATTAAGGCATAAAAAAGGTAATTTGTAACTTTGTGTCAACAGAAGGATTTCCTACACCCAATTTAATATATTTTTTACAAACAAATAAAATATCTTTAGTATGATCATTAGATATTTTTAATAATTCAGCACTACATATGTTTCGAAATCTTGTGATAGTGTGTAGGTAGCTTACAACTAGTTGATTAAATTAAAATACACCTTTTACACATTCGCAGAGTTTAATATGTGTAAGTGTAGTTATAATCTTTGCAGTCTATTTTATAAACTACATTTAGTTGAGTTGCTTTCTTGAGTTTGGGTTTAAAATTTAAAAATAAGGTTTCGTTTATGAGCAATTTTTACATTATATCTAGAGAATATTTTTGACACTTGTTTGGAAAGTCTTTTTACATATAGCAATTTAATGTTTAAAAAAGGGTGCCACACCAAATGTTACAGTGATAACACTTTATGCTTTTGACTATTTAAGTACCAAGCTATTTATTTAAAATAATAAAACAAGGTATTTGTTTTAGGTTAAATAATGAAAGTTTTGGAGGCCACAAATTATGGACATATTCAGATGGCAATAGCACTTTTAAATATATCCAAAATATTTTGTAGTTTTAAATGTTAATTAACAATTTTGTAAATGGTTTATTTTCAAATAAATAAAATTTACTTTAATATTTAGTTATATTTTAATCATTTTGATTAGAAATTCATTAATTTTTAGTTTAAAAAAAAATTAGTAATAAAGTTGTATTTTTTTTTAAGTAGAACACCAAAAAAGCAATATTTACCAATTTATAATATTGCGGAAAAAATTTAGTTTTTCATAAATAATTTTTTTAATAATTAATGTATTTTTAAAATATTTAGTTGGGAGGGGTTTGTGGGGTAAAACATTTAAAGCTGCTCCCATTTTTATTGTAAAATTTAAAGGACGCCTTTTTTATAAATCCAGATTTCTCAAAAACGGCTGATCAAATCTACTCTTACCACTTATACCTTGCAGAACAAGAATTTTTAAGTTAAATACAGACTGGCGCTTAAAAAATAAAAAAAAAATACATAAGAGGTGCCTATACAACATAATAAGTGAAAAGACAAAGTACATCTTGACATTTACATTGAATCAGAAACAAAAAACACTAAGTACCACGATACACAAACAAGTACTTACTCAATATGTTAATCTACATCAGAAGATTCGTTGTGTTTTTAGCTGCCACCTGATTTATTTGTGCCTCTATCAATTCTATGGGATTTAACTCGCAGTGATATGGGGCAGCCACTACACAACTTTATTGGTTTCTTTAGCCTTTACATCGACAACATTCAAATTATGTGCATCTTTATGTTGCCAAATTAGGTGTAAAAGTTGATATCACTTCATATTTAAATACATTTAATATTTTTAGTTTGGTAACCATTCGTCAGATTTTCTTGATGACAAAGGAATTTTTTCAACTTTTCGACTATGATGTGATACATTTTCCATGACAATCATACCATAATTATTAGAAAACTTTGTAAAAAATGTAGAAAACCAATTCTAAAATACTTCGGATTTCGTCTCGTCAAGGTAAATGCATTTTCTACAAAACCTTCAGAATTAGCACGTATATTAAGGCACCTGCTTTTGGCTTTTCAGGCCTGTTGATAAACCTTATTATGATCTTCATCAAAGTAGAAGCTTGGTCTGTTTTATTTTCTATATTGTTTGATGGATTTTAAATCTACGTATATAGTGTTCTATCAATACACTTTGACAATTTCTTTTCAAATATCTAAATAAATAAACATTTGACTGGTCGAAGTTACAAACTTACTTAGTTATTATATCTCAAGAAAGTATATAAAGATGAATAATATATTTGTGGCAAATCTAAATATTTCAATTCTTGCAAAATTTTATTCAATCTAGATAACTCTTTTTTGAAAAAGAAATCGTGTACTAATCTTTGAATAGCATTTATCATCATCATAATCAAATGTTTTTAGAACTCCTCGTCTTCCATAAATACATTTTAGACTAGATATTGTTCCATTATTGCGGTATTATTTCAATAATCGGTAATTAGTTGACTTTGACCTGTAAGAAAAATATTGAGTATTTAATATTATTTTTAATTTGAAAGTAATGAGTAAAACTTACCCGTAGCTTGAGAAATTTTGGATATAACATCAACAATTTTGGTTCTCGTATTATTATCCAATACCTATTTGTACATATTTATTATTTACTGCTTTTCTGAGAGACGAATAGCCTAAACTCATTCGTTTTCGTTGTTTTGATGAACTCCGCGAGGAACTGTTATAATAGTATTCGATGTATCGATCCATAATCGTAGAAATTCAATACAATTGCTTTCTAAAGTTTTGAAAAGAACTGTTATTAAAGAAATAAAATAAAAACTAAGTAATAATGATGAGATATCAAAGCAATAACAAAACTTAAATTATAAAATGCCAGAATCGAAAATAGAACTGTCAACCCCTGTCAACAGTAGCTAAAAAGTGATGTGTGAAACTGACTTCAATCTGACCAATTAGAAGTCTACAGAATTGCCAACTTAAATTCAAATCGCTCCTCTTAGTTTAAAAACAGAGTATAACCACTATATAGTTGGTGTCATTCGTTTGTAAGTGTTGGCACAATTGAGCGCCTTAGGATGACAGCCCGCCACTTTAGTTGTCAAATACATGTAACAAGATCTTTAGTTACTTCCAAATAATAAAGATACAAAATAATACAACGGACGACAGAAAAAGTTTGCAGCGGGATTTTTGTTTTCGTTATAGACTGCCAGCAAAAACGAAAAATCTATCTAAAAGCAAATTTATTTTAAATTTAACAGGTTACACGACAGCTCCCACCACCGGAACATATTATACATTTTTCACCAACTTTCTCTGTAGACAACTACAAATAGTAAGTAAAAAACTCATTACAAAGCTGTTATTTATCTCTATATATCAAATCAAAGCAGAATATGGTCGAAATTCTAGAAATATATTAAATTTTTTTATGATCCCAATACTTACTTCGACCAGTGATCTTGTAACATTTGGGAGTGATGAAATTGTCCAATATTTCTGCGCTTCGGCATTCTTCGGTTTGGTGTGTGAACGATGTAACGCCCCAATTGCAAGCCACGCTCTCTTTTGAGTTACAGTTGTAACACAATAATCCATTAGCTAAAAATAGCAACATAAATAACCCAATTATTATTTATTATCTATAATTTTAGTGTTTGTTGGTAGATTTGTATTGGAATTTAGACATTTTAATTAATTTAATGGTTCTTCTTGTTTAATTGGAATAATGGTCATATTATCTTAAGAAAAGAGTGTGAAGATAAGTATTTTACAACTGTAAAAGGTATCGAATATATATTTTTGGTGGCAATTTTGGTTTAGTTGTATTTAAATCTTTGCAGAAAAATGGAGGAATACAAAGCTTAGAGGACAAACTGAAACTTTTTACAATTAGGTAAAGCAATTTATTAGAAATATTGTTATTTCCAAAATATTATCAAATTGGTATTTTTTACGACGAAAATCATAATAATTCTCATGCAATAGATTAGTGATTCCCAAATTGGGGGGCGACCCCCTGGTAAACCGCGAAGGAACGTTAAGGGAGAGCACTGAAATAATAACAGAAAGGACCCCGTAATTGTTATATTTATTTTTGGGTACTGTCAAAATTTGTTCAAAGTTTAGTTTGTTATTTTTTAGATCATTAAAAGCAACTTTCTTATGAACCCCCCAAGTCTGCAGCTCTAGAAGGTGAGCTGTTAGAACAAGTAAAAAGAAAGGAATGTTTCAACTCTACTTTTACAATAACTACACAACTGATAACATTAACGTATAACGTCTATCAAAAAAACTGACTGCCTGACGTCAGAATCACGGACTTTTATGGCTTGCTCTCACCTTCTCGAACCTTCTCGAATTGTTCAAATTTTTCTTGACGTGGAATGACATTTCTCGAATATTTTTCCTTCTTCTTTTACTTGTACGTTTACTTATGACGACTGCCACACGCTGCAGGGTACTGCGTAATAATATGATTAATATATAGGGTTTCCAGGCGCAATGCTAGTAGTTATGATTAGCCAGTTCTGGTCCGAGTTCAGAGGCAAGGTCAGAGGCAATTGATGTAATTAGTAATAACCCTAAGTACCCACTCCCACCCTTAACGCAATTAGCAAGTACCTCCCAATTACTCTGTAAACCATGTAGTGAGTGTAATTACATAGTAAGTACTTTTAAATTACCCTATACCCCATGTGTAATGATTATCGTAAGTACCTCTCATTACTCCATATACATTGAAATGTAATGAGTGTAGGTATCTTGTATATATAGTAATTGTTATGTATGTCATGAAGTGTAATGAGTTTAATCTAAGTTATTACTATTGTAGCGTATAGAGCGTTTTGTACCCTAAGTACATTCTAAATAATAGGTTTTTCATAAATGGGGGATGAAGTCCGCACATCCTTGACTCTCAACCACCATGATTAGAGTAAGGAACCGGAAAGGCGCAAGCATAGACGGCATGAATATCAAGGAAGGAGCGTAGAAAAAGTGGGGGATTTAGTTAAAAAGTACTTCCCAAATTTGAACCCATTGTACTGAGTCTAATTGCATAGTAAGAAACTTTCGATGTGTAATGAGCATCGCAAGTACTTTTCAATACTCCATTCACATGTAGGTACCTTGTATATAGTATGTATATCATCTGTAATAGGTTATAGTAAGTACTCTCCATTACTTCAAACACAATGAAGTGGTATGAGTGTAAGTACATTATGTATAGTAATTGCTATGTATATCATGAAGTGTAGTGAGTTTATTCTAAGTACCTCTCGGGTATAACTATTGTACCGTACAGAGCGTGAATATCGAAGGAGCTTAGAAGAGGTGGGGGATTTTTGAGAGGATATATAGTAGCGTACGTATCCAAAAAGTTTAAACATCGTGAGCTTCCACAATGTAAGGTTTCAAAAACGGCTAAAAATATCTTATTTCGATACAAAAACGGAAAAAAAATAACATCAGAATAATTACAATATCTTTCTGAAAGACAGCAAAAATTTAAAATAAGTAAAATGCAGACACATTAGCATACAACCTTTTTAACTAAACTACATATTATGTTTGGATTAGTGGAGATCTACGTATAATACGCAAACCTCGAACTCAGGTAAAACAGCCGGGGTCCTTTAGGTATCTAGTTGGGCTAAGTTTAGTAGAAATATGTGTTTTTTATGGTCACCATCTATAACGAAGTTTAGGTAGTTCTTCTAGAGTAGGGTGATGAGATTTAGTAGAACCCTGCTTTTATTAGTTTTCGGATTATTTATTGTGGGTAGAAAACTACAATATTTTAAGAACAAATAAGTAAATATATGATGAAATATTTAGCTGTATATTATGGTTACTAAAATACCGAACGTATATTCAATTAGTAGTCATTTATATACATATGCTAGGCTTTTCTTTTAAATTGGATTCACAAAAATATCAAATAAATAATAAAAATAGTGACAATGTATAAGTGTAATTGCGGTATAATATTTAGCATCTGCGGTAGAACCACTGTAAATATTTTTTGATTTTAATTATAGTATACACATTATTTCATTAAAAATTTCTACAATTTTATTGTAAGTATAACTTGGCACATATTTGTTCCTTTAATAACGGCCATATATTGTTTCACATTATTACGATATGTGGATAATGTATTCCGCTAAGCACCGGCCTAAATCCGCCTTCTCAAAATCAAATGAATAGCATGTTTTGCAGTTAGCTGGGGGGCTATTCATACTGTAAATAATTTGACGTTCGGCAAGCATTGCTTACACCTACCAACAATATGTATCAAATTGCGAATAAATGTTATAAAGTAAACGAAAACAGTAATTTTTTATCTAAAAATGAGAACTCTTTTAATCAGTCATAAGAACGTTTACTAGGTGGTGGCGGTGTTAAATAGATACATACTTATAGTTCGGCAGAACACGCATAGCTTTTTGTATTTATATGGTACCACCTCTAAACATCTAACTGCTGGACACAACTGTCTAACTGACTTGTTACATTCAACATCAAATAATATTCCTCATATAATGTGTATCTAAATACAACGATACAAAAAAATTACAGGGGTATGAATGACACTTAACCACATACTTTGATTTTCTTTTACTATACGGAGAATGGTCGCACTGCGCAGCTTTCTGAGTGCCTTTTAAAAGGTGATAGAAAACTCCGCCATTTTGAACCCTTATTACGTGTTGCCTTCATCTTGGCGCAATATTTTTAATAGGTGCGTTTTAATCATCCGCTTCTGCTTCGGAATTGTCGGTTTTCTTGTTTTAATCTGACAGGTAAAAACGACTAAACCGACAATTCCGAAAGCAGAAGCGGATGATTAAAACGCACCTGATATTTTGCTTGCTGCTGTCAGTGTCAGTGAATATTATTTTTGGAGTCACAGTTTATTGCTAAAGAATCAGTTAGCTCACTCGGACCAGTTGAAAGTTCCAAAATAACATCTAATCCAGGGACACAAATTCAGGATACGCAGAAGACTGCTGTTTTATTATAGGCGGTTGTCATATATTGTATTATCCGAATTGCACAGTGTATAAACTGAAACATTGAGATCCAAAGTGCTGACGCAGAGTGAGCGATCTGATTCTTTAGCTGTAAACTGTGTCACAGGGTTCAAAATGGCCGCGCTCTATGTTGGGCGTGTCGAACCTCTCTCTTTCCTCGAATAGTAATCAAAGTATGTGGTCGGACCTCTCGCTTGCCTCGTATAGTAATCAAAGTATGTGCACTTAACCGACGAACTTTAGTCGTGTTCGCGCATAACGTGTGATGTGAAATGGAATCGTATCTATATATTATTATATAACTGTTTTTATGCAAATGGCACGCTTTTTAATATTTAAAACCGGATTTACATAAATAAAATGTGTTTATTTTTTAGAAATTTTTCATAAAGAATGGACCTGATTATATAAAAATGCTCGGTATTTGAACCTGATGCTCTATCATCACGGTTGCCATGCTTCTCACTTTCGTAAATCTGGCAACCCTATTAATATACCTAGATGACCTCCTAGTTATAGACAATAATAATAATAATACTCTCCCTAATTCACCCCCTTACGAGTAAATTTTAACCTCAAAAGCTGAGCTTGTCCGGGGAAAGGGACATTATTATTATTTGCCGTGGCGCTCCGGGGCGACTTAAAGATGATTGATGGTGCCATTTGACTTACAGGAGAGGAAAACCCGGAAAACCCCACCCACCATCATCGAAAACAGTAACGCATGGTGATTTTTGATAATCTGGATGTCATATCAACAGAAATTACAATTCTGCTAATACGGCATCCATCAAATCCTAAAGAGAACCATGCAAATAAATTCACATGGTCTTCCGTAGGATTCGAAACCGTGTCTCGTTTCCCAGAAAATTGGCTCGCAAATGAATGCGACGCCGTAGACACCTGTGCTACCATAGTCGATAGAATAAACAATGAGCCTGAGGAATGTGATAGGCATATCCAATTCGTATTATCGACTCTAAAAAGTTTAGGATTTTCACCAAACTATGAGAAAAGTTCTCTAAAACCATCAATGACGTATCCATACCTAGGTTGTACAAACTCTATAAAGATATATCAAATTATTTCAAATTTCAACACCGGTCGTTGTTCGTTCACTGTCATCACAACTGTTTATACGAAGCATAGGAACGTATAAGTCTTAATCCAATGACGGTGAACACAGCCATTGTTACAGGTAAGGTGCTTATTTAAAAGTAAAATGGGATCAAAAAAATAACTGATCTTTCAATCATAACAGAATGACGAAATTTTGTAAAAAATACAGAATACATCTAAATAATTTCAGTACCTAGGTAGAGTTTTAATCATGTTCAGTATATCCGCATTGAATTGCATGACTTTACACGTGCAATTTGTATATTTGATCTCTTTATAAAAATCAAACCATTTCTTAAAATTCAATAAAAGCAAAATAAATTAGAATTATGTTACGAAAATAAAATAAAATTTGAATCAATAAATATTTAGACTGATTTACAGAGAACTTTATCGTGGGTCAAAGGACAACCTTTAAGATAGTCCGATTACCTATGTGAGTATAAACAAAATCTTTAATTAATAAATTAATTGATAATAATAAAATTAAACAAAAAATATAAATAACCGGCTATAAATAAAACAAATAATCTAAAATATAAACTATATTTTTAATACCAAAAATTTAAATTTTATATTAAATTAATTGAGATTGGGAGATTTCAATTAATTTGTAATAAAGAAAAGTTTATGTCAATTTTTTATTTATTACTGTCTATTACTTTCGGATTTAACTATAGAATATGCTTTAAAAACTTTATTTACCGTTAGCTACTACCTATTTATTATAAAAATTGGATAGATTATAGAAAAGGAACTTTTCATATTATTTAAATTTAATCTAATATATCGTCGGTCTAAAGCACACATATTGTAACTCCAAATTTAATGTTATACCGATCTTGGTACCAATTAAATTGCATTTTAGTCTTCTTTATTGGGCACAAACATTGTAGCTCCAATATAGCTCCAACACCCACCAAACTACAATAAATTCAAATTAAAACTGAGAATTAAGGCATTTAATTACACTTTCTAGAAGTTTAAATTTATGATTGTCCAAAAATGCGTTTTTGGATATACAATAAGTGTGCTTTAAACCGACGATATACGAATTTTTACATTTTTTTTCCGTCATATTGGGTCCGCCATTTTGATTTTTATAAGTTTGACATCAAATTCGTAATCAGCGACCTCAAAAACCTGTTAATACAAATTTGGAAGCAATTCTGCCTAGCCATTCCGGGGCGTCGCTAAAAACATAAAAAAAATAGTTTTTTCGGTATATAGCAACACGCTATCGGTATGGCAGTAATACAACAGAGCATCTTAAAACCTTTTATACATATTCATTGCTAAAAATGATATGTTTGCCCCATTATGGCGGCCGCTTGGCGACGCCCCAGAGGTATGGCGTTTTGAAATCTTTGTTCTACAGTTCATTATTAACAATGATCACGAAACAACAGCTTGGGGCCCATGATCCATGTCCACAGTCGAAAAATTACACGTAAGTATGGCGGACCTTAAGTGACGCCATATTGGTATGGCATATTGAGTTCGCTGACTTTGGCGACCTCCTCGACGACATAAAACAAGAATAAAAGTGGGGCCTATGATCCAGGGGCATTGATATTAATTACATGTTCGAAAATTCACCCCTCTAAAAGCTACACTTTAGGGGTGCCATGCCGGGAATTCAAAGTGGGGAATAACGTTTTCTATTACCCCCCAAAACCTCGGCGTGGGGCCTATGATACATGCAAAAACCCTCTCGGCTCCCGGTCTATAACAATTATTCGAAAAATTAAGTGTAAAACAATGTTATTAAAATATTATAAAATATGGTCAGTGCAAGGAAAATTAATTGAACTGAATTATCGCTGTACTATTTGACAATAAATATTAGCAAAGAAATGTGAAGTCACAGAATCGTTGGATCCGAAAACTGAAAATGAAATTATGGAAATATGAAAATATATAATCCCCAATTCCCTCTACCAAACTACGAAAAATACACCACCATTACCATAAATAAATAAAAGGATAGTAAACTTTTTGTGCGACTTGTCAAATGCGTAAGTTATAAGACTAGCATCTCTTAGTTTTGATTTAGGACATTTTGGGAATTATATTTATCGAAAAAAATTTATTGTGTCGTTTCGTTACTAATGTGAAATTAAAAATAATGCAATTGAAAAGAGAGTTTTTATATGTGAGACATTATAAGATTTGTTTAGACATTAACCAAATGTAAATCTAATATCAAATGAAGCAACCTTTCATATTAGAGGACGCGTGAATAAACGTATTTTAGGATTTGGGTTTACGAAAATCTTAGAGATTTCAACTAGTGTGAAAGAGATGCTCCCGCGGTAAATGTATGGTGTAGTGTGTTCAAAATTATAATTTATAAAAAAGTTTCTTTCAAAAGAAATCAGTAAATGGAAAAAGTTATACATAGATGCTAGAACTTTTTCTATCCTCAACTAGAACAAGAAGAAATGGTAAATGCTGTATATTTCAAGCAAGATGGTGTTCCATCGTATGTCCCTAATAGGTATCTGGGAACTCTTTGGGCATAACATTTGGAAACATATAGATAGGTCAAGCTGGTCCCATCGAATGAGCTCCCTATTTTTCGAATTTTACTATATCATATTTTTTTATATAGAGATATATTAAAAAATGTTGCTACGGTCTAACATCTACAAACTTAACCGACATGAGAAATAACTATTAATGTGGTTAATACAATTACCCCAGAAATGTTACAAAATGCATTCACAAATTTTCTACTGCACCTACATAAATACATGTAATGAATAAAATAAAGGCCATATTCAATAATTAATTTATTCTTCGTCATTTATATTATTAAGATTGTTACTAGAAATGTATTTTATGTCTTGTTCATAATTTTCTCATAAAATTCTCATGCATTATTATTATTAGGTAAAAGCTATAATTTACATTTTTTTTAAACACAAATGTACTCTTTAAAGTGTTCAATTTCTTTTGGACTAGTGTCAAATTAATCATGTTGGGAATAAATTCTTTGTAAATACTAAGTTGTTTGTCGCGAAATAGCGCATTTATTTTCACCCCAAAAAAGAAGACTACGCAAAATTTAGATAATCAGATTAATGTACACTATTTACCTCATTTATAATCTAAAATACGGAAATTAAAAAGTAAGTACCTAATAAAAATTAACATACCTGCAGTGGCGAGTAACAAAATCGCGACAACGCCGGTGATAAAAGAAGCCATTTCAAACAGTATCTCTCGATATCACTTCACTCTAAGAAGATCAAAACATAAATGTCAGGCCGAATATTAATTGCAATTAGATTAAGAGAGATAGACTCTGACTGTAGCGCATCGTGTTAGTAGAGAGAGGAGATGACATACCATACAAATATTCGAAATAATGTGGTACTGCAAGACTGACATTAGGATGGTAACAAGATGGCGCTTTAAGTAGGTCTGCACTCAACATTTTGAGTTGTTTAAAGAAGCTGTAGTTATTTTGATATTTATAATTCATTAAATACGTACGTTATAAAAAGAAAATTTGTATCAATATTTATGTGTAGTTTTCTAATTTGAAGATATTTGTATAAGCAGTTAGGAACTCCACATTTCGAAATAACATTTAAAACGTATTTTTCGAACACGAAATAGATAAAATAGATATGCCTAATTATAAAAATATATTTATTATTGTAATGAGTACAAGGTGGCGCAAAATAAAGTCTCCTATTTGTTTTTTATATGAAAGTAAGATTAATTAAAAAAGAGTCATATTATAAATTAAAAATATTTATTTAAAGTCTAAAAATTTGTTTTGCTACACACTAAGAACAATATCGACCAAATGGCCACCCCCAGCAATAAGATTTATATGGACCCACCTCATCACTCGTTTCTAACTCTAGAGATGGCTCTACTTGTCGAATCAAATTTTGTATACAATTTATTAAACTTGCAGGGTTCTATCTGTGATAGAATAATATTTCGTTAGTTTATATCGCAGTCAAAAAATTGAAATAAAAAAAAACTGACTGGAGGATACGTTCGCGCGCTATGGTTGGGTACTATTTAATAATAAAATGAATATAAAATAATTTCAATGAAAACTATCCATAATTTTAAAGGTGAGAAGAGAAAGAAAAAAAAAATAAACAGAAATGGAAAGGAAGAAAGAACGTAAACAAAAGCTCAAGAAATTCAACTGTCAAACGATTCATTGTACACCTCAGGTATACATTTTTGAAATCGAATAGTATAAAAGAGTAGAAAAATGTGATAGTATACAGAGTAACTAACTAATAAGTACCTTAAAGGTAAAAAATGACTAAAAAGCAATCCCACGTAAATTAATTTTAGGAAGTTAAATGACAACCGGTTTCGGGATTAGGCCATCATCAGGTCTAAAAATAAAGTAATAAGCACTTACAATATAAGATGACGTCTCCATAAAATATTTAAAAAAAATACAAGTGTATGATTAAAAATCTGATGTGTCCAACACATGACTTTCCTATCTAGTTATTATAGGCATTTTCCGGTTATTTTGTACAACCTATTGCAGCATCTCTATAAATGTTTAGAGGATAAACTAAATATATACATTTTACACATACATCTACCTCGAAACATTTTTTTATAGATATTCATTGAAAACGAAAATACAGAAAAATTTAAATTTAGCACTTTTCCATTACGGTCCATTTTAGAAAAATCATGTATAAACATAAGTTATAGAAATCGATATCGCAAACAACTTTTAGTTCAACAATTTTCATAAAAATCAGAATTTTGCACATTTTGTTAAATTTCTCGAATACGGACCATTTCAGAAAATTTTGACATAAAGCAAAAATTATAGATAAAAATATTAGAAGTAACTTTTATTTGAACAATTTTCTTCTCCAAACATAAATAACAGATATATTCCATAAAATATAAAAACGGCCTCCCATAAAGTACCCCCCCAGATGTTCCGACTTTGTCCAAAATCTAATCATTTCACGTCAGGCCGAAATAAACCTTAAGTTTAAAATTGAATGTTTTTTCCTTTATCCGTTTTTGAGTTTTCTTCAAATTTCGAAATTTACATATTTTCTCAAATATCTCGAATACGGTCCATTTTAAAAAAATTATGTATAGGACAAAAATTATAGAGAATTATATTACAAACAACTTTTATTTGAACAATTTTTAAAAAAAAATATTTTTTTTACATTTTGTCAAATTTCTCGAATACGGACCATTTTAAGAAAATTTTGCATGAAACAAAAATTATAGATAATTATATTAGAAGTAACTTTTATTTGAAGAATTTTCTTTTCCAAACGGAAATAACAGATATATTCCATAAAATATAAAAATGACCACCTATAAAGTACCCCCCCCAGATGTTCCGACTCTGCCCAAAATCTAATCAGCTCATTGGACGCTAAAACAAAGCTTAAGTTTAAAATTTGGTGTTTTTCTGTGTATCGGTTCATGAGTTATGCGTTATACAGACACACACACACACACACACACACAGACACACAGACACACAGACACACAGACACACACACAGACATCATCGCGAAAATAGTCAAAACGGATTCAGGGGACCTCAAAACGTAAAAATCCGTCGAAAACTCGAGGTCGAAAAAAATCATGATTCCTATACTTTCCTTATATCTGTATACAGATAGGAAAGTAAAAAGGCAGTTGTAAGAGATAATATGTGGGAAATATGATAGAAATTGTACAAGTTAAAATAGGTTTGCATAAAGAAACTTATAGGCTAACACTATTAATCGCCATATTCTCACATTTATCAACATGTCCCACATATGATATTTCTTACAACTACCTTATCCTTGTTGGGGCTCGGTTTTAATCATGCACGTGTATTTTTTAACCTGTTTATTGGGACGTCCTAGTAGTGTTTTGTAAGCGCTTATCACTTAATTTTTAGACCTGATGATGTCCTAAGGCAAAAACATTTAACTTTATAAAATTAATTTATATGGGATTGATTTTGAGTTATTGTCTTACTAATATATAGGGTGTTTCATTAAAAAAAAAAAAAACAAGAAGAGTGGTCATAACTGGGGAGGAGACCCTAAAAATTACAACAAGTATACCACGAGCAGAATTTATATTTTTATTAAGTGTATTTTTTTTCAAAATAATTATAAAAAAGGTCATTTTTGTCAGTGGCTTGAGATGTGTTTATCTCAAGTCGCCTTTATGTCTCAAGTCAGGCACAGATAATTTTTACTCTTTTCTACAGGTTTCCTCAAAAATGGGTAGATACAAAAGAAAATGTGGGGCAAATTATAAAAGATATAACAAAGAGAAGCTTAAGCAAGCTGTAGAGGAAAGAAGGCGAGGTGTCCCATTGCAAAAACTACAAAAAAAGTATGGTATTCTAAAGGAATGAAGAATCGTTTTAATCGCAAGCCGGGAGGAGTTAGAAGAAAGGAGGTTCGTAGATAACATTTATAGCATTTCCGACTGGTCACACTCAGTGAAGTGCAAGTTTTCGTTGCGCAGCACTGGTTCAATTTAGTGACATCATACAAACTTATTTTAACCGAACACGTAGTTGACCACCCAGTGCACTGTATTGTATTTGACAGCTATCATCTGGGTGATAAGTAGAAGTAGTACCTTCCAAATTTCAAACAAAATCCAAGCCAAGCTTTCATTTTAAACATTTATTTAATATTGTTTTAGAACATAAACTTACTTATGTTCTTAAGATGTCAACGTATGTTTTGTTATGTTATGTTGAGAATGGGGTGTTAATACACTGCGACCTAAAAGATCTATTCATCGATTCAATGTAATTTTTTATTTTTGGCAGTTTAGTTTTGTTAAACTTGGCCTTAATTCGTCATAATCTGATGAAGAAGTTTCCAATATTTCTTTACAAATTATAAAAAAATTACATATTTTAGAAACCACTCTTCATTTGCCATCGCCATATTTATCACGACTGAACCGAAACTGAAAACCTGTTTCTATACTCGGTTCACAAATGTGCGCACTGGTTTATTTTTTTGAGTTCAACTGATTCCAACCAAAAATTCAAAAACTGACCCGGTTCGCACTGCTCTTACGAGTCGATAACAAATTTTGCACCGAGTGTTAAAAAATGCGCACCAGTTTCACCAGTCGAAAACGCTATGAGGTTGCAAGTGAATGGGGATTCCCTTTGACATCCATTAATGTAAGATATTTGCTAAAGTCATATCTGGATAGGTCTGGGCGAAATGTTCCCCAGTTCAAAGAAATTCTACCAGGGGGTCGATTCTCGACTTTTATTCCCATGGGAAAATAAAATTTTCCCATGGGAATTCAGTTTTCGTATTCTCGACATAAGCGGTGGAATATACTTTCCAATGAGAAGTATGGGAAAATATTCCCCTGCTTACGAGCATTGGAAATTGTGTTTTCCAATGGGAATTGTACTAGAGTTTGCGCATTAAAGTCGAAAATTTGACCAAAGACCACGCGAAAGTCTAAGACATAACCAAAGATTATTGGATATCTTGGATTTTTAGTGAAATTGTAGTTAAAACATTTTTTTGGCATATTTATAGATTAATATTATTTTATTTATGTAGGTATATTATTTTTAATTCTCTTTCACTAAGAAACTGTATAAACAGATTTTCCTAAATCATTTAGAAATTATGGGAGCTGCTAAGGGACTGGCAAATAACACAAATTGAGTGTAGTAAATTTAATAAGACCTTTTCGAAAATTTTATTATTTTCGTTAATGAAAGAATTTCTTAGTTTCTCAAAACTTTCGTTGCTCTTCCATACAAAAGCTACCTTTTCTTTTTTCAACATGAGAAAAGAAAAACTAAGAATAACTCGACAAGTTTTAATTATTATACGTAATCGAATATTTTTACTTGTTCCTCGATCATGATAGCGATTGCTCGGCACGGCACCTGCTCCAGCGCGGAGGCTCGGCAGGTAATCGGATACCCAAAAACCACAACAAATACAAATAATGCCAACAGTAAATTTTAAAATATCTTGAATGTTATTGGTTGTTTTGAAATATTCGTGGACTTAATATCAGACATACGTGAAACTACTATTTCCATGGGAATGTCTATTCCGACACATTTGAGAATTGCATAACCTATTACCATGGGAATATAAGTAGTGGAATATTTTCCCATGGGAAAATTTTCCAATGATCTCGAGAATCGAGCCCCAGGGAGAGAACCAATGAGAAACGTTTTTCTCAAAAGACACGTAGACATACTTAGTGAGCGGTGGTGTAAAAATATAAAAAGAGTACGGGCAAGTGTGAACACAAATACCATAAATAAATACTTTGATGAGTTGGAAGTAACCATACAAGAGATAGAAACACGGGCTATGATTAACTATGACGAAAAAAATATCACGGACTACCCAGGAAGGGAAAAAGTCCTTGTCAAAAGAGGTTCAAAACATTCACATCGTATCATAGACAGCTCAATGACAA